TGAACATTCAACCCCCACTCAAGGCTGAACACTCAACCCTCCCTTGTGCCAACAAGGCAGCTTGCAGACCCAGAGGCCCCGTTAGATTTGGGCTATAAAAACTCCCTCCTGCTGGGCCCCTCTCTCTCTTGCTGTCTCTCTTGATCTCTTTGTTTCCCTTGCGCGCATGCTCTCCTCTCTCTCTTTTCTCCTCTGTTGCACTTCTGCAAAAAGATCTCTTGGTTGCTCGAGTGTTGTGGTCACTTTCCTTTCAGGACCTAAGTCCCTCCCCATTCCACACCGGCATGTCCCTAGGAAGTCCCTTGAGGGAGGATGTCTGAAGACCCTGGCTCTAAAAGTCCCATCTGGCTGGGGGCTCCATGTCCCCACCCCGCGTCGTGCCAGCCGCGGCCCCGCGTGCCTCAGCCTGCGCATCTGTGCAATGGGTGGCTCTTGTGCGCTCAGTCCAGAAGCCCGATGCTGTCACCCTCGCGCCGCCCTCTTGCGCGGCCTCGGGGCTCCGATCCCTCGGGGCTCCGACCTTAGCTGTATGCAGACCGGGTCCTGAGCTCGGTAGTGCCCCTCCAGCCCGGGGCCCAGAAGACCCAGCTCTGTGCCTACTAAAGGAAGGAAGATAGCATAGGGCACCTGTCCCCACTGGGATTCGGTCCCCGTTTCAACTGTAAGATTAATGATCTTTTCTGTGGAAGTTAAACCTGTATCTGAGTTTTTCAGTCTGTAACAAAATCCCATTCCTGTGATTTAGAACTTCACAATGTGTGGTTAGGTGGAGCCATTTTAAGCCACAAACCATATGGTTAAACTGTAACCACTTTGCGCTCCCCAGCCTAGACCTCGCAGCTATGCTATATGTGGGCAGGAACGCAGACCACAGATATGATCTCCCTTTGCCCCATCTTCCAGTCACAATGCCTTAACTAGAGACCTCACCTTGCCCCCCCCCATTTTAAATTAGACAGTCCTATAGATTATATCCCTAGCAGAACAAGGGGCAGGGCTTCCCTTAGGGATAAAATCTGGGATTTTCCACCCAGGTGTGCCTGCTTGCCGGTCTCTGTTCCTAGCACACCCTTCTGCAGAAGTAAAATTTGCCCTGCCCAGCTACTTCCAAGTATGTGTGATTTCTCATGGCATCCGGTATTTCTAGCAAATTTGGGGGTGTAACGTGGGGCTCCATACATTGCCTAGGGGGCCAGGGTGGGGGAGGAAACCTGGATCTCTGAGGCCAGACCCCAAAGCAAAAGTGGATCAGCAATACCAGGAAGGGCCCAGCAAGCACCGTGGGGACCAGATCCATCAGCAGACTAAGGGAGGAAAAAATGTACTTCCTTGGTGGTCGGGACATCTGGCCAGATATCTGGGGGAGGAGTGCAGGGAGCCTGTAGCCAGGAGGGTGAAACTCTATTCAGGGACAGGAGGCCAGCCCCAGGAAAGCTTGATGGGAATAAAGAATATATTCTAGAGAAAAAGAACACTGGCAGGGGAAAGACATCAACATTCCCCTAGAGAGTTCTCTGGGCCTTATGTTAAAATGTTGGTTCTAGGCCTGGGGCTGTGGCTCAGTGGTAGAGCCTAGCAAGGCAAGGCCCTGGGTTTGATCCTCAGCACCATATATAAATAAAGGCATGTGTCCAACTACAACTAAAAAATAAATATTAAAAAAAATAGTTCTACCAGAGGAAATAGATTCTACCTTCTCCTAAAGAAAAGGACCTGTGGTCATTTCCCCCTTAAGATTCCTAAAAGCCAGAGGGGGAGCCAAACAAGTGGGATCCCCAGCCAATCTTCCACCACCCTAGCCTGGTGGCTGAAATTCTGGCTCAAACCCGAGCGCTCCTCAAGGCCAATATCGTCCAACAATGAAAGCTGGAGGAATCTGAGCCCATCCAGGGGCCTCCACCCTTCTGTATCCTTGGCTGTGAAAGCTAAGGAAGGAGTTGAAACAACGATAAAAGGACACTCAGAACCCCCTCCTGTCATGTGGAACCAGCATCTCATCTTTCCCTGGTACTGTCCACTGGACCCTTAGGGGGAAGTTTCCCTCAGGGGTGGAGAAATCCGATTTGTAAATGCTGCCTTAACTGTAGAGGTGAGACATTTAAAACAGGAACCAAAGGGTCTGTGAGAAGACCCACACCATGGGGCTACAGACCACTTAGACCAATTCCACGGCCCCCAGCTTTACACCTGGACCAAGCTTATGTCCATCTTGAGTATTTTACTTTCTGGACGGGACAGGGAATGATCTGGAGAACAGTGTCGGCAGCCAGATCAGGTTCTGCCTGCCCAAGTCAAGGGCCCTGCTGGGGTAATAATTATGAAATACACAGGGCCCACAGGAGATCACAGAGATTTAACTGTAAAGGGAAAAGCCAAGGCTTTGATGTTCAGCAAGGGAAAGATGAAGCGCCAGCAGAAGTTTTGGGTAGATTTTAGGAGCAGATGAGGAGATATTCTGGAGTAGATATTGATGGCCCCTTAGGGCAAAAATGTTAAAACTACACTTTGTGACTAATGGCTGGCCTGATATTGCTAGAAAATTCCAGAAACTAGAAAACTGGAAGGATAAAATCTAGACTAATTATTGAGGGAATCACAAAAACTATATGTAAAGAAGAGTGAAGAGAAACAGACAAAAGGCTCAAATTGTCCTCTCTACCAGAGAACAAGTAAGCCAAAGAAAAGTGGGCCCTAAAAAATTGGGGACAAAAAGGGCTTTAATCAAGATACCCTAGGAGACACAGGCCAAAGGACCTCAGAAGGGAAAAGGAGAAAACAGCTGCTCTGAAGGAAGGGCACTTCAGGAAGGAAAGCCCCGAACGGGAAAGGGAGGACAAGGTGACACCCCTCATGACCTGTGAAGATGACAGAGGCCAGGAGCTCCCCCACCCAAGGGCTTCTACCAAGAACTGGGAACCAAAGGGGAAAAGAGGCCTTTCCTGACTGACTTGGGGCAGCTCATTCCTTTTAAGCACGTCACCTTACCCATATACCAATGTCCAGCAGATGGCTGCTCGTGTTGGGAGTAGAAGAGGAAAGATTTAATGTTCCCATTTTTGTGGAGGGGGGGTACTAGGGATTGAGCTCAGAGGTACTCGCCCACTGAGCCACATCCCCAGCCCAATTTTGTATTTTATTTAGAGACAGGGCCTCACTGTTGCTGAGGCTGGCTTTGAACCTGAGCTCCTCCTGTCTCAGCCTCCAGAGCTGCTGGGATTCCAGGCGAGGGCCACCACGCCCAGTTTAATGTCTCCATTTTTTAAAAGACCCAAGTAAGATACAAAAATAGACCCAAAAAGAGTTCCTCTTTGTGCCTAAAACAGGGACAATCTCTTAGGGAGACTTAATGGCCATCTAGGAATCAGACTGAAAATTAGTCCTAGGGAAATTCAAGTTCCCCTTGACCTTCTAACTGCCAAGGAGGAAGAAAAGATTCTTCCTGAGATCTGGACAAAAGAGAGAAATTGAAAGGGATTAAAGTTTACCCCAATACACACTGAACTAAAAATTATAGGAGAAACAACAGAAAACAATACTTGATCTCTCTTGAAGGGAGATTAGGGTTACAACCTGCAATACAGGACTGCTTAAAGATGGCCTCCTTGAACCCAGCATGCCCCTTTATAATACCCGATGTTTTTTAAATATATATTTTTTAGTTGTAGATTGACACAGTAACTTTATTTTATTTGTTTCTATTTTTATGTGGTGCCAGGGATGGAACCCAGTGTCTCACACATGCTAGGCGACCAGTTCTACCACTGAGCAACAATTGTGGTCCCAATACCCTGATTTTACCAGTAAGAAAACCTGATGGATCTTACAGATTAGTCCAAAAATTTGAGGGCAATAAATCAGATTATTCAAGACAGACATCCCATAGTCCCTAATTCCTACTGTGGCCTGGGCATGGCAAAGGAGGTAGAAGTTGACTTAGGCCAGGGTCTTACCACAGCATCTCCCACAGACCATCCGAGGACAGGGACCTGGCTGAGCCTCTGACACAGGCAGGTGGCTGCAGCCTCTCTTCACCAACGCAGCTGTGACCCTGGGCTGACACCTTGGTGCTCATGCCAGGCAGTGCACCCACCAGAGGGCAAGAGGCAGAGCCCAGGAGGCTGCCTGCGAGGCTGCTCCCTTCACAGGCCAGCTGCAGCCTGCACATCTGGCTTCAGGCTGCTTCCACCCATCCCTGGCTGCAGCAGGGCCCAGCAGTCTTCACCGTCCCCAAGCCTTGGGACACTGCACATTCCCTCCACACTTGACCCACCTCACACAGAGCCCAGCCCTGTGTGGAGGCGGGTCTTGGTGAACAATGGCTCAGAAAATCCACTGGTCACCTAGTGCCTCGATTCCTGCAGCCCTCCACACAGCAGAGCCCGGAGCAGGCCCTAGGCCAGCCAAGGTGGTGGAATGGACCTGGCCCTGGGGACGGCCACTGGGCCTGCTGGGGTGCAGGCTGTCTGGGGACAGTGGAGGGACTTCCCTCAGACCAAGGAGGCATGAGGGGCCCATCATGTGCCCACAGAGGGTTAAGGTGACCCTGACTCCCTGTGGGGAATACAGGCAGCGCCACTGCACTCAGCCAGACCCCGACTTCAAACAAAAGGGAGGAAATAAAAAGTCCTTTCTAAAGGGCTCCATGCCCTGGATGATACTCAGAGGAGGCCGAGATGAGAACTGAGTTCTGGGGGGACTCCGCAGTGGTCCTCAGCCAGGGCTGCAGGGAAACCTGGGGGGCATTCTGAGGTCACGATGCCTGGAAGCACTGCTCAGGCATGGAGTGGCCTGGAGCCAGGACAGAGGGGGACTGGCCCATACATGGACGGTTTCTGCCCAGAGGCCAACAGGGTCCTGGGCAGAAACACTATAGAATTGAAAATGAGAAGCCCCCATCCAGGGTGTGACTTGTGCCTAAGTAACAGTCGTGTTTTAAGACAATCCAGGGACTTCATTCCCACTGAGATGTCCCCCTGTCACTGAGAGATGGAAACACCAGGTGCAGAGCTCAGAGTGGCTGGTATTTAATGTCAGCTTGCACAGCTGGACATCAGAGAGTCTTGCTCGGCTCCTGGGGCCACAGACAGTGACCAGTGTGACCATGGATGGCACTTCATAAAGAGGTTGGGGCTCGCTGGGGGGGGTCAGGGCCCAGCCGTCCTCCCTGCCTCAGCTCACCACAGTGCCCAGCTTGCTCAGGGAGCTCTGCCAGGGCCCAGGCCACCTGCTCTCTGGCACATGGCAGGACTTAACATGTGCTCCCTGGCTATAGGAATGCAGTTGAGTGAGGGGTGGAAAGTGTGGCTGCCAAGGTCACTTAGATCCTAAGCCTGTTAGATTCAGGGACAAAGGAGCCAGGAGTTTGGCCCCGGGTGACTGGCAGGCTGCAGGGCAGTGCAGGGCCCCTCTGGCTCCGGCCTGGCTGAAGCCATGCTGGCGTGTCCTCAGCATCCACAGGGCAGGGGCAAACCCTGCCTGGCTGAAGGGGCGGCAGGCATCCAGCTCTGCAGGTACCCAGTGCCCAGGTGGCCTTGGTCTTCACGAGGAGGAGGAGTGGGGTGCATCATGGAAAGAACCCCCCCTCTCAGTGCTCCTCACATGGCCCTGGACACGGGCCCACCTTCCCTCTCCATCCCGGGGCAGCCGGCGGCGGGGAGGGCCGGCCCAGCTCATCGGCTCTGCCCAGGGTCTCGAGCCCCTAGCAGTCACCGGGGAGACTCGCTGGGGTCCAGGTCCGCGTCCGGGTCCTCGCTGGCCCGCAGCACGTCCACGTGGCTGTAGCCCTTCCAGGCCTTCAGGTTACAGCTCCTCAGGATGCTCCCCAGCTGCTGGCCAGGGCCCACTTCCCACGTGCTGGGGAACTCGGTGCCCCTCCTCCTCTCGTATATGGCGTGCATGGTCTGCTCCCACTTCACTGGGGACACCACCTGCTGCCCCAGCAGCTGCCGGATGTGCGTGGGGTGGAGGTACCTGCTCCCGCTGACGTTAGAGTAGACGGCCACCAGCGGCTTCCTGATGGCCACTGTCTTTAAAACCTGTGCCAGGGGCTGCACAGCGGGCCCCATGAGGCGGGTGTGGAAGCCGCCGCTCACAGGCAGCATCTTGGTGCGTCTGAAGTGGTACCTGGAGGAATTCTTCTGGAGAAACCGCAGGGCCTGAGGGGGGGAAAGAGGCTCAGCCAGGAGGTCTTGGGAAGGACCCCAGGGGCAGAGGCCTCCAGAACCCTGTAGCCGTCCACCACGCCTAAGCTGTCTTTATGACCTGCATCTATGTGGACAGCCACGCATGGCACCTCCATGGCATCTGTGGTCTCCAAGCACATTCCAGGTCAGGTTTCTGAACCTGCTCAAGGTTGCTAAGCCAACTCAAGCCCCAGGTTAGGGCCACAGGAGTCAAAGTCTCAATCAAAAGGCTCAGCAGGCTACTCTACGGATGCCCCCTGGCCCAGGCATTGGCCTAGCAGACTCAAGGAGTTTTCCCGATATCAACTGGTGGACAGGGGCCTCTTGCTCAGGTGCCCTCTCTTCCCTGAGTCCTTTGCACTTCCTTGGGTGCCGAACAAACCTGGGACTTCCAGGAGTCGTTACCTAGAGTAGATAGGATGTGGCAGGGACACTGTGGAAGAGATTCCTGTCTGACCAGGGGCCTCTCCTGGACACTTCGGGGCTGCTCCCCAATTAACTGACCTGCCCATCAAGTCAGAACAGTCATAAGAGGCCCTGTGGGCTTTGACTGATTTAGAGGGGCATCTGAGGACCTGGGCCTAGAGCAAGCCCTCAGAAGGGACCATCTGGGCATGATCAGGTGGAGGACACTGATTCCACAGTGAGAAAGACTTGGGTTCAAATTCTAACTCTAGCCAGGTGTTGTAGTGTATGCCTCTAATCCCAGCCACTGGGGAGGCTGAGGCAGGGGGACTACAAGATTGACGTCAGCCTGGGCAACTTAGCAAGAACCTTCTCAAAAAACCATCTGCCTCTGTCATCTCCAAACACTTGCATCTCCTCCTGCCTCAGGTTCCTGAGTGTGAAATGGGAATAAGGATCCTTCCAGTTTGGAAGGCTGAGGCAGGAGGATCAGTTCAAGGTCAGCCTCAGCAACACAATAAGACCCTCTGTCATTCAGTTAGAACCTGTTTAACAAAAGGAAAAAAAAAAAAAAAGATGGGATGTAATTCAGTGCTAGAGAGGGCCCCAGGTTCAAGCTCCAGTATCAAAAAAAAAAAAAAAAAAAAAAAAAAGAGAGAGCGAGAGAGACTCCTTTCCCTGTGGCACAGGGCGGAGGGGAGGTGCACTAGGTAAGACTTGCACATACCAGGCCCTCATGTGGGTTCTGCTGCACTCACTCAGAGGCCAAAGACACTTGGTCCCCAGTTATCCTTTCCCTGGGGTTCCTGCCTCTGCTTAGGATGCCCCCTCCTGGCAAGTTCCTCCTTGTCTTTTAGGTGCCTATTCTGTGCCCCACGCCCTAGTTCAGCCTGATGCTTCCTCTGCCCCTGGCCTGGAACCACCTGTCCTTGCAGGTCTTTAGCAGCAGGAACTCTGACTAATCAGTCCCAGTGCCCCCAGTGCTTGTTAAACAGCAGATGCTTGATTAGTGATGTCTGGGGAAACAGCAAGTGAAAGGAAAGAGGGAAGGAAATTCAACTGTGGGCAAAACCAGACCCCCCCTACTGAAAAGCAGGGTGAGGCAGAGCAATCCAACAGAGAGCAGCTCTTCCTCAAAGGAAGCAACCAGGTCAGAAGCGTCCAGAGAGGCCCTGGGGATTGCCTGATCCAGTCCCTTGAGCTTACATGCGGACTGGGCTATTTCTTCAGGACCCCTTCTACTGGGGTGCAGTGGGCTATATCCTAGCCTCCTGACCCCTGCCTCTGCAGCACTCTCTACCACACAGACCCCTCACCACGCTTGGCTGGGCACCCACTCCAGCATGGGGGCCTCACAGGTACACAGCGACTCCTGCCTGCCCTGCTGGATTGGGCCCTATGAAGGTGGTTCCCATCAACACCAACCTCTAGGTGTCCTGAAATCACCCTGCAATCAGGAAAGAGATAGTTGGCCACCTCACACACAGGACTCTCTATGCCCAATGACTTGCAGTGCTTCTGGGCTTCCAGACAGGCAAAGTCGAACTTGGACCGAGGCTGGCCGAGGACAGATAACATCCCACTGGGAACAGCTTCTGAAGCTTCCTGCATGGCCTCAGCTCGAACCTTCACTGCATACAGACCTACCCAGAAAGAGATGCATTTGGAAAAATCAAAACACACAGTGAAGGAGGGAGGCCCAGACAGATGTTGACACTGATGTTTATTACAGCCCAGAGGGCCGCAGTTCTACCTGTTTGTGTCTGTATGCAGAGGGATTACTTCTGCTGTCCAAAGCAAGGGGTCCTCCTTGGCACTACGTGGCAGCCTGAGGGGCCTCCTACCTGGAAACCTGGGTGGTGGAGGACAGGGATTCTCAACCAGGGTGATTCTACCTCAGGCAGGGTCGGGAGACACTTTCTGCTTGTCACAGCTTGGGGAGAGTCTACTGACAGGTGACAGGTACAGGCCAGGAGAGACCATCCTACCGGGCGAAGGACAGGGCCCCTCAAACAAGGAATTGTCTGGTCCCTGATGTCAACATCTCAGCCATGTTGAGCAGCCCAGTAAGGACAGAGAGCAAATGGTAGCTGCACTGCCCAGAACCTCTGACTGGTTGAAATTTCTGGTTAGTAAGATGAGGACCATAACACCCCATCTGCCTGGGTTGTTGTGAAGACTAGGAATTTCTATTATTGTTTAAGAGAAATCATATTGAAAAAAACAAAACAATCAAGAACCAACAGATACATGGGCTACTGTACAAGCATAAACAAGTAAATGAATTTCAATAAAACATGAATAAAAATGTTGAGAGAACAGGGCTCTGCCCCCACTGGCAGGGCCAGTGACTGTGATGTGAGAATGGCTGTGACTACAGTCACCCCTGCAGGTCCTAGGTCTACTTCCTGGGAAGGGAAGGGCAGACTACATCTAAAAGAGATGAAAGAACCCACCCAGGCTTGCCGGGCAACGGAGGTCCCCAAGGTCAAGTCCACAAGCTTTCTCTGTGATATGCCTCATGTACTCAGCGCTTAAGACACGTGTATGGGGTTTAGTCCCTCATCCCAGAAACTGTGCAGCACATATATTACTAAGAGCCTGTGGTAGAGCTGGACATGGTAGCATACGCCTGTCATTCCAGCAACTCTGGAGGCTGAGGCAGGAAGATTGCAAGTTCCAGGCCAGCCTCAGCAACTTAGCAAGATTGCCTCAAAATAAAAAACAATTGAAATTGTGGTCACAGATGATAATCCAACTGCAGCAGGAGGATCACAGGTCCAAGCCCAGCCTGGGTAATTTAGCAGGACCCTGTCTCAAAATAAAGGACAAAAAGGGCTACGGTAGAGTACCCTGGGTTCAATCCCCAGTATGGGGTGGGGGATCCCACCACACTCCATTCCCCTTTCTTCCTCTCTCCACCCCTGGTCACCTGTAACCTGCTGTCTCTAAGGATTGGATTCATGCAGTCTGGACATTTATTTTTTTCTAGTTTCGATTTTTGCAGTGCTGGAGATGGAACCCAGAGCCTTACAGGTGCTCTTCCCCTGAGCCCCTTCCCTAGCTCCTGGATGTTTCTTATAAAAGGCACCATCCCCTAGGTCTGATTCTCTCACCTAGGATGTTTCTAAGGTTCAGCCATGCTGCAGCACATACCAGGACTCTATTCCTTTTTATTAAAAAAAAAAAAATTGGTTGGGGGGCACTAGGGGTTAAACACAGGGGCACTTAACCACTGAGCCACATCCCCAGTCCAGTCCTTTTTATTTTTTAATTTAAGACAGGGTCTCGCTAAGTTGCTGAGCCTGGCCTTGAACTTGGGATACTCCTGCCTCAGCCTCCCAAACTGCTGGGATTATAGGCATGCACCACCACATCCAGCTCTTTATTCCTTTTTTTTTTTTTAATGTTTATTTTTCCATTTTCGGCGGACACAACATCTTTGTTTGTATGTGGTACTGAGGATCGAACCCAGCACCGCGCGCATGCCAGGCAAGCGCGCTACCGCTTGAGCCACATCCCCAGCCTTCTTTATTCCTTTTTATGACTGAAAAATATTCTCCCATCTGGCGAATCAATTTGTTTATCCACATTCATCTGATCAACCTACCTTTTGGCTATTGTAAATAATGCTGCTATAAAAATCTGTGTACAAGTTTTTCTGTGTGGACATGTTCTAATTTCTTAGGTGTATATCTATGAGCAGAATTGTTGGGTCACATGTTTGTCAAAACTGTTTTCCACAGTAGTTGAACTATTTTATATTTCTACCAGCTATGTATGAGGGTTCCTATTTTTCTACATTGTTCTCAATGCTTATTTTCTTTCCTCCTCCTCCTCCTCCTCTTCTTTTTTTAATCTAAAACTGTCCTAGTGGGTATAAAATACTCTTTCTCTTCTTGTGGTGCTGGGGATGGAATCCATGTCTTCACAAATGCTAGACAAGTGCTCTACCACGAAACTACATCTCCAGTCCTTTCATTTTTATTATTCGAGACAGGGTCTCGTTAATTTGCTAAGGCTGGCCTTGAACTTGCCATTCTCCTATCTAGCCTCCCAAGTCACTGGGATTATAGGTATGCACCACCATACATGGGTATGAAGTACTATTTCATTGTGGTACTGATCTGTATTTCCGTGATATTTAGTAATGTTGAATATCTTTTCGTGGTTTTTTTTGTGTGTGTGTGTGTGCCATTTGTGTGTCTTCTCTAAAGAAATGTCAAGTCTTTTCCCTATTTGACCATAAGCAAAAATCTCTCTATCATGGGGTCTCACTATGTTGCCTGGGCCTGCTTCAAAATCCTGGGCTCAAGCGATCCTCCTGCCTCCGTCTTCCAAGTCGTTGAGATCACAGGCTGGCTACCATGCCCAGCGAGGATCTGATATTAATTTATTCCATTTATTTAATGAAGATCTACTGAGCATCTACCAGGAGTGACAGGCATGGGCATGTGTGAATGGCCTACAAAGGTACAAGATAGGGGGGAAAGACAGCAGAGCATGCAGATTTCATGAGATTACAAAACAGAAAGGAAATCCCTACTGAGTCCTTCAGGCTTCAAAGGGAATCGTGGTGAAATAGGGTCCTTGAGATCCAGTGTCACCCCATTCCTGGGTTCCCTTCCCTATCACTCCTGAGTAAGTTTAGTATCATTTCTGACAGTGTCCCTTATCCTAGTGAGTCCAGCAATATCATCTCCCCACACATGCAAAGCTAAGCCCCTGTCTGTGTACCTTCAGAAAATTCCATGGCTCCAGCAAACACTAGGGCTGCAAATTCTCCTACACTGAATCCAGCAGCAGCAATACAATTTTCAATAACCTGCAGTGAGAGATGCAAAAAATGAGGTCAAATTCTCTGGGAGAGCTTAGTTCAAGGGCTCTGCACCTGAGGGATGAGAGTATTTAGCATCATCATAACCCAAGTTCTGCTGGCGTGGTGCTCTACCTAGAAGATGGTCAACAGGTGGCCCTGACATTCACTGCGTCCAGCCTTTTACTGATGAGGAAATTTCCTGGTAAGGCAGGCTAAAGCCTAGTCATGTCTGGTAACATACAGCCCAACCCAAGCCTCTGGATTTTCTTGTTCCAGCCTGAAGCAGCCTCCCAGGCCACAAGGTATGTAAAAGTTAAGTGCAGAAGTTAAAGGCAAGAATTTGGAGTCACAGAGACTGGATTTCTTAGCTTGGGAAAGCTCCCCTATCTCTCTTGAGCCCCCTCTGTGAAATGGAGGCAAGAAAGACCTTCCTCATGTCACTGCCGAGGGAATTTCGTGAAGATGTTGTCTATAAAGAGCTCAGCACAGAGCTGGACCTCAGTAAGCACTGAGTAAATGTTATTATCAAGACTCAAGAGGCCATCTTAACTAATCTATGTATATCCCTGAGTCTCCTTTCCTCATCTATAACATAACAGTATTTACTTCACAAGGTAGCTGTAAAACTGAAACAAAGACCCTCAAGTATTAGCTTAACATCTACTGTCTTGATACTATTCAATATTAACAGCCATGGATCTACCACTTTCAAGTGAAGCCACCTCAAAATGTCATCTTCTCAATGATCCTTCATTTAAGGATGAAGCTTAATCCTTTTAAAATCATTTAATAGAGGCTGGGGGTGTAGCTGTGGGGTTCAACACTTGCCCACCATTCCTGAGGCCCTGGATTCCACCACCAGGACAATGACACGAATCATTCAATAATTAATTCAACAATTACGGACCAACTTCGGGTCCCAACTCCTTTCCCTACTCTATATTTCCTTTTATAACTGATATCTTTGACATGCTACGTAATTGACACAGCGCTCTTACTATGGACCGCCTCCCCTTGGGTAGGGATTCTCCTTTTGAGCACCGCGCCCACCGCCTACAGCAGCGCAAGGCACCCACGAGAACTCGGAACTCGGTAAGAACCTGCCCAGCATCAGCTATGGAGGCAACCGGCCTGGAAGGCGGGAGCCCGGGCGCAGACCCCCTTCCCTCGGGCCTCACCGCGGGCTGCAGGTGATGGAGCTTCTCGACAGCGGCCAGCGAAGCCACGAAGACAGCGGGCTGGCAGTGCACCGTGCGGTCCAGGTCCTCCTGCGGCCCCTGCAGGCTCAGCTCCAGCAGGTCGTAGCCCAGCACGCGCTGCGCGGCGTCGTAGAGCTCGCGGACGCGCGGGTAGCCGAGCAGACCGCGGCCCATGCCCACCACTTGGCTGCCCTGGCCCGGGAAGAGCAGCACCGAGCACTGGCCGGGCGCCCGTCGCGCCGCCGCCGCCCAGGGCTGCTCCTCCGCTGTCGTCGCGCCTCGTAGCAGCTCTGCCACGTCCACCGCGCTCGGCGGAGGTACCGGGAAGTTAGATACGCCGCGACGGCAGCAGACACTCCAGCCCCAGGCCCAAGTGGCCCGCGCGACCCGGGCGCGCATGGTGACACACCGGCTCAGCGCCTGTTACCGTGGCGACTGAGGCCCCACTGCAGCTGCGCGGCGCCGCGTGGTCCTTCGCGCATTTCCTGCCGTGCTCACCCTGGCACCCGGGGGCGGAAGAGAAAGGTTCCGCCGTTACCGTTTCCGCCGCCGCTGGGGACTGTGCGGCTGGAAGACCGGACCCTAACCCGTGTGTTTCCTTAAACCTCTACAGCCAAGAATAGTTCATAGCACCACACCACAGCGAACCCTCAACACATATTTATGGACTAAATAATGCAACGCAATGTAATATTTCCTTCTACCTAGAATGTGAAGAGCACTTGAAAGTCTTCTACATTTTTTCTTGCACATGATTCTGCCAAGGCTAAGCAAGATACCAGCTCTCTTTTATGTTTCCTGCAAACCACACAGGATTCCCAGCACGTAATATGCACTCGATAAATCTGCTGTTCAACAAAGCCCTGGATATTTTTCAGCCTTATTTAATTCCTCACAGCAAGCAGCCGATGCCTAGGTGCAATTATTGTCCTCAGTTTACAGATGAGTAGACAAAGGCTCAAAGGTTGAGTGACAGGTGGTTCTGACAGGAGGATTGAAGTTGGGGTTATCCAGCTCTGAGAGCTGCTGTGAGGCCAGGTCAGAGAGAGAGAGTCCAATTCTGACCTTACCTCTCTCCACCCTTCCCCTCCGCTCTGCACTCGTTTCCTGACATCCTCCTGTAGAGAACCTAGGGCGCGCAGGCACCACTTCATGGTGAGAAGTTCTAGGTAGAATTGTGTCTTAGTTTAGTTCACTCCAGCTGCTGCGGAAGAATGGATAGGCTGGGGAAGGGGCCCAAATAACAGAAACTTCTCACAATTCTGAAGGCTGGGAAGTCCAAGATCAAGGTCCTTGCAGATCCTATGTCTGGTGAGATGGCTGTCTTCTCATATCTTCATTCCATTATGGAGAGCAGAAACCGAGAACTCCCATGTCTCTTCTTAAATAAGGGTATTGATCCCTTTGATCCCTTTCACGAGGCCTCCACCCCTACCTCTAACTATCCTGGCCCTGGGGGATTGGGGTTCAACAGATGATGTTTGGACACACATCACTCAGTCCACAGAAAACCACATCAGCAAATCTACTTCACTGAGTTTGTCTGAAGAATCAAATAAGCAAAGACCTAATACTCAGGATGTCCACGGAAGCCTTGTTTGTTTGTTTTTAAATATTTATTTTTTTAGTTGTATTTGGACACATACCTTTGTTTTATTTTATTTATTTTTATGTGGTGCTGAGGATTGAACCCAGGGCTTTGCACGCGCTAGGTGAGCACTCTACTGCTAAGCCACAACCCCAGCCCTATTTATTTATTTTTAAGTTACTGGGGATTGAACACAGAGGTGCTTTATAGCTGAGTACATGCTTAGTACTATTTTTTTTTTTTTTTTTGGACAGGGTTTCACTAGGTTGCCAAGGCTGGCCTCAAATTCAGGATCCTCTTGCCTCAGTTCTCCTGAGTCCATGTTCAGCCAGCCTTGTTTTTGACAAGGAAAAAGTGGAGGTGAACTGCATGTCCAACTAGGGGGGTTAATTAAGTGCCATATTGCAAACATATAGAATGCTGTGGTCATAAAAATGTGGAAGAGATCTTCAAGTTGAGACTTGCACTGAGCACACACTGCCTCCAGAAGCCCATAAATCCCATGAAAGGATTGTTTAACCCCCCAAGGACAGGGAGAACAGGAAAAGGGACCCCATCAACAAGATCTCTGAAAGCTGAAAAGCAGATAAACTGGTATTAGCTGACTTGGTGACCTCAGATGGCTAAATCCCTCTCAGCAGTGGGGAAAGCAGAAAACCCACCCTTCGTCTTGCAATAGAGTCCTCAAACGCTTAGGAACTGGTGGCAGCAGCTGCTTCTAGATCTGAGAGTCAAAGAAGGTAAAGCAAAGGGGAATATTTGAATACTCTTGGAAAAAAAAATGGTTAGGTCCTTTGATCCCCTCCCTCTCCCTGGCCACTGGATGAGCCCTTTCCGCTCTGGCAAACATCTGGGCTAGCTTGGAAAAGGTCGAACCAAAGGGGACTGGGCATGCCAGGGACAGCAGTGAAGTGCCCAGTCTGCTGAAACAGTCAACCCTGAATGATGATTGGAGAACCCTGCTCCAGTCTCTCCCCCAGTGAGGACCCAGAAACCTGGAGCCAGACCCTGACTCTCTAGGCCAGGAACTTTAGGACACTGTGGAGTCTGACCAGTCCAAAGCAAAGGCCTAGATATTGGCAATGCAGGGACAAATGGCCCATGATGTTCACCTTATATTGAAGTTAAACTAACAAATATCATCCGAGAGATTATTTTGTTCCTTCCTTTGAATCCAGCCAAAGATACCCAAGCATCTGAAAGCCCTCATAATCTGGAAAAAAGGCAACCCGTAGAATTTGGAAACTATGAAGACAGAAGGATTGCTTTTAAGAAAACTGTGGCTGATATCTCTAGGTAAGAGGAGACCCTGCATCTGTGAAACAGAAACAGGAAACAACATTTTATTTTTACTTTAATTTTTTAAGTGGCCGATGGACACAATACCTTCATTTTATTTATTTATTTTATGTGGTGCTGAGGATCAAACCCAGTACCTTGAACATGCGAGGCAAGGGCTCTACCACTGAGCCATAACCCCAGCCCCAGGAAATCACGTTAAAAAAAAAAGAGAATTCAGAGAACAACAACAACAACAAAAATATCTTGTGTGTTGAAAATAAGAGAGCAGGCCCAGCGTGGGGGCACACACCTGTAATCCCTCAACTTGGGAGGTTGAACCAGGAGGATCACAAGTCCCAAGACAGCCTCAGCCACTTAGTAAGACCCTGTCTCAAAATAAAATAAAAAGGGCTGAGCGTGTAGCTCAGAGATAGAGTGCCCCTGAGTTCATCCCCAGTACCACAAATAAAATAAAATAATTAGAGAGCAGAATTGAAGAAACTCCATAAAAGGCCTGAAGAGAAAGTTGAGGATAAAACAAAAAGCAAAGCCTGAAAAACAGGCAAGAACAGGAAGTCAGAGGAGCAGCCCAGGAAGCTCAGGACCCTGAGTAACAGGATTCAAAAAGAGAAGTGAGAAAACAGAGGGAAGGAAATTATCCAATTCTGAAAAACAAAGAAGAGGGGTTTCCAAACTGAAAGGGCCTATTGAATGCTGGCCCAACGGACCGAATCAGACCACACGAGGGAGGAGCCATGTGAACTTTCCAAACTCTGGGGCCCAAATCTTAAACTTCCAGGAAGAACCAAGTGGGTTACACACAAAGTCTGCAGCAACAGAACACCCCAGCCGGCTCAGCAGCCAGGTGGCCCTAGCACATGGCAAACCCTCAGAGTCCTGGGTGCTCATCTCCCCCACGGGAAGAACATGAGGTTCACAGTGGTCACCTGCACGCACTCTTTATCAAGAACTCCTGGGGGACGGGCTTAACCCAAAGGGGAACCAATAACGAGGATGATCTTGTCCATCTGTTTTCTGTTGCCATAACTGGATACCACAGACTGGGCTGGGTTCTTTATAAAGAAGAGAGGTTTATTCAGCTTGCAAGTCTCCGGGCTGGAAGGCCCAAGGTCAAGGGGCCATATCTGGTGAGGGCCTTCTTGATGGTGGGGACTCTGCAGAGTCCCAGAGTGGTTCAGGGCTTCACGTGGCAAGAGGGGAACATGGAAGAGACAGAGTCAAACTGCCCTTTGTAACAGACCCACCTTTGAGATGACCCATCGACCCTGCAATGTACTAGTTCATGAATGGATTAGACCATGAAGACAGTAAACCTACTAATCTCCTAAAGCTCCCATCTGGTCTCTCCTGTCTCTCTCTGTCTCCCTCTGCCCCGCCCAGAGCTGAGATGGAGACCTGGGTCCTCATGCATGCTAGACAAGCATTCTACCACTGAGCTCCATCCCCAGCCGTTTTCATTTTATTTTGAGACAGGATCTCACTACATTTCCCAGACTGGCCTCCAACTTGTGATCCTCCTGCCTCAGCCTCACAAGAATGGGATTACAGGTGTGTACCACCACACCTTTCTGATTTGTTATATATGACAGCAGAATGCACTATAATTCATGGTACACATCTAGAGCACAACATTTCATGTCTCTGGTTGCACACAAAGTAGAGTCACATCATTCATTTCTTCATACATGTACTTAGGGTAATGATGTCCATCTCATTCCACCATCTTTTCTACCCCCATGTCCCCTGGTCCCACCTCTTCATATCTCACAATGGGGATTAATTTTCATGAATTTTGGTGGGAATGCTCAAACAACAGCAGATATAAAATCCAGGAAATGAGGATCCATTCAGGAGAGAGGGCAAGGACATCCCAGAGGTCTGGCGCAGGGAGACCCCAAGGTGACGTGTGTTCTGGGCATGTCAGGCACCTGGGAACAGCATGATTCAGGGATGTGTCCAGAGCTGTCACTATCAAGGTCCCTGCTGCTGTGCTGCCCATTGAGCAGCAGGATGAGAGGTAAAGGGGCACACCTTGGTAATCCCAGAGACTCGGGTCACTGAGGCAGGAAGATCGCGAGTTCAAGGCCAGCCTCAGCAAGTTAGCAAGGCCCTAAGCAACTCAGACCCTGTCCCTCTCTCTCTCTCTCTCTCTCTCTCTCTCTCTCTCTCTATATATATATATATATATATATATATGGCTTGGGGATGTGGCTCGGTGGTTAAGCGCCCCTGGGTTCCATCCCTGGTACCAAAAAAAAAAAAGGTAGAACTTCTGGTGAGTCCAACCCAGGTGCCTGTCTGAACTTGGCCTCTCTTCATCACAGCCTGATGGCGCCCTGTCCTCCTCACTCTGTGCCCTGCTGCCTGGATCAGCTGAGGACACACGGTCTACCTGGTCCAGAAGCATGCAATGTCACTGTTGAACCTTGACGCAAAGAAAAGATCACTGACTCTGATTTTAAATAAAAATAAAGCAGGCTTGTATTTATGAACACAAAAGCTGGCCAGTGACTGTCTCTCCCGAAAACCCTGAGCTAGAGACAGCCCCCAGCTCTCCAGGAAC